AGTCGTCTAGGTGTTGTGTGTGTGTGTGTGTGTGTGTGTGTGTGTGGTGCGTGCGTGCGTGCGTGCCATCTTTCCAGGCAGACATCGATGGACTGTCTAAGAAAAGCAGTTTGTCAGTGAGACAGGTTGAACGCTGGTTCAGGAGGAGACGCAGTCAGGACCTTCCTGGAGTCTTGAAGAAGTTCAGAGAGGCCAGGTCAATACTGTGTGTGTGTGTGTGTGTGTGTGTGTGTGTGTGTGTGTGTGTGTGTGTGTGTGTGTGTGTGTGTGTACACTGATAATAGTATAATAAGGGAATACCTCAAATAGCCATAGTCCATACATCTCTCCCCTTTGCTTCCTACAGCTGGAGGTTTGTCTTCTACATATCGGCGTTCATTGGAGGACTGATAGCTCTGTACGATGTGAGTACCTGAAATAAAGCATGACTCCATCTCAGCCAGAAGCATGATTTTACTGTGAATAGAAACTTTAGATAGCTGAGGTTGAATGTTAAAGTCACTAGCAGCTTTTTGGGTGTGACTCTGTGTATTACATACAATTCTATATCTGTAGCCGTACTAACACAAACAATTCCCTCCCCATGGTTTTGCAGAAAGAATGGTTTTATGACACCCGGGAAGTATGGGAAGGTTTCCCAAAGCAGGTTTGTATGGTTTTTATACGCCATAGTCATCATATTAAAGCTAGGGTGGGCAATTTATTTTAGATTAGTCTTTGTTATATTTGTTGAAATACATCCCGAAGCCAATCAATAAAACTAATGCTACTACCAAAGAATTGAAACATAAAGTTAATAATAAATATAAATGTTTGACATGCTTATTGTCTTTGTGTTACAAGGAAGCAACACCTATGACTTTTTTTTATTAAAGCTGTACTAATGGAAGGAATATACATGAGGCTTTGCAGGTTATTATTTAAAAGGCACCTTCATTACAAATACAATGATGCAGCCCGGCCTTACACACTGTGATTGGAGAATATATGATCCCATAGCTCACATTTCAGTCTGTTCTTAGCTTTTAAAATGGAGGTGAGTGAACAAAAGACTCCTCTAAAGTTTCCTCCTGCCAGATAAAGGAATTAGGACAAAGAGCGGAGCCCTGAGGGACATTAGTGTGTACTGTGTGACCGAGATTCACTCTGGCTTCATGTTACATGCTCTGCCTCTGTTTCTGTGTGTGTTCAGTCCATGCTGCAGTCTCAGTACTGGTATTACATCCTGGAGATGAGCTTCTACGGCTCACTCCTCTTACGCGTTGCCTTTGATGTTAAGAGAAAGGTGAGTTGTGGTTTTTACAAGCTAACATTTACACTTAATTAAATCTCCTGAATTATTGATGTTTAAATATTCAGCTTTTATTCCCAATAAAAGGAATAAAACACAGTACATTCACAAACTCGTCTGTACTACATTTAGTAAAAAAGTTCAACAAAGTGTTCTATTAAAGGCTTTTTCACCCCATAATGTAACTCTCCCCAAAAAAGCATGCTAATTATTTTAAATCATTATCCTCCCTAAAATAAGCCTAAGAGAACCTGTGACTTCACACCATCATGTTCATCGGAAAACTACACAACAATGTGTCCCAAAAGAGCCCTAGGGTTGGAAATATTTGCTACATGGCCACAAAAAAATATGTGATTTAGCAATAAAAACGTATTTTTAATAAGAGTTAGTCCCAAGACTGGTTAGACTCTAAAACATGTTTTAAATGTAGCAAGATTAAAATAACATCCATCCTCAAAATGGTGCTAATGGGAAAGCAGTGTATTAGTCTAGTAGAGACTACTGGGTTGTTGGTAGGTTGACTGTGTTTCTCTTCCTCCTGTAGGACTTTAAGGAGCAGATCATCCACCACCTGGCTACACTGGTACTGCTATCATTCTCCTGGTGTGCCAACTACATCCGGATAGGAACGTTGGTCATGCTCATCCATGACGCCTCTGATGTTCTACTGGAGGTCAGTCACACAGGTTCAAACAGCCCAACAACCTGATGATGCTGGAAGATCCTGCACACTCCCTGATTATGTTTACTGTCAGTCACCTTTTTAGACATTTAGTGCATGAAAACTATGGTTAAGGTTATATTGTGGTTAGGCTGAACAATTTCAGATAGGAGGTGGGTTAGGCTGCTTATATACCTGATGAGGGTCAGTGAAATATCCTGGCTGACATGTTAAATCATGGCCAGGAGGCCGGGCGGTTTCTGTCGTTTTTCCAACCAAGTTTAGATTTAGCCACGCTTACTTCCGCTTGACGAAACCACCAATGAAGCTTCGCACGGCCTAGTCACGGCTACTCTACGTCTACTTTAAAGTTACAGAGAGAGCATTTTAACTCTGAGGCAGTCAACAGACCGTAGTAAATTAACATATAATGATATATAATATATATATATATATATATATATATATTATTTGTACTCAGATAACTCTTAGCTCGGTTCTCTGCAGCTCAGGTTCCTAATCTTCCCCCTATGTGCTTTTTAAAGTTAAAGGTCCAATGTCATGCTTTTCCGTTTATTACCCGTCCCCTTGTGTGTTATGAAGGTTTTTAGTCAAAACCCTCAAAGTACACCCTGTAGCGAGTAAAACTCTAACACAGAAAATACCTGTCGGCTTGGAGTCGGCTGGTACGCCGACAGGACACGGGGGGCTGGCGTCGGCCGGAGAGCCAACAGGTGACGAGGAGCCGGATTCGGCTGGTACGCCGACAGGACACGGGGTGCTGGCGTCGGCCGAAGAGCTAACAGGAGATGAGGTGCTGGAGTCGGCCGGTCCGCCGACAGGACACGGGGGGTTGGCGTCGGCCACAGAGCCAACAGGAGACGAGGTGATGGAGTCGGCCGGTACGCCGACAGGACACGGGGAGTTGGCGTCGGCCGGAGAGCCAACAGGTGACGAGGAGCCGGAGTCGGCTGGTACGCGACAGGATACGGGTTGCTGGCGTCGGCGAAGAGCAGTACTGGAACTGAAAACTGGAGTCCGGACCCATGGCTGCTGAGGCCGGTACTTGAGCCGGAACATTGGCTGGAACTGGAGCCGGGTCGATGCTGCTGGAACCCGGGAACTGGGGGCAATGGTCTTGCTGGGACCGGAACAGAAGCCTGGAAACATGGCTGTGTGGGCCGCGGTTCTGGAGCCGGAACCATGGCGGATACTGGAGCCGGAATATCATGGCTGGCTGGAACCCGGAACTGGAGCTGGCAATGGACGCCTGGGGACCGGAACAGAAGCCTGGAAAGATGGCTGTGGCGGCCGGGTTCTGGAGCGGCAAACCATGGCTGTGGTCCGGTATTGCGGGCAGCGGACCATGGCTGGCTTGGGACCGCGAACAGAATCCCCTGGGACCATGGCTGTGTGGGCCGCGTCTGGAGCGCGGAACCATGGCTGTGTGGGCCGGTACTGGCAGGAGGACCATGGCTGCGGGGCACGGGAACCGGAACACGGAACCATGGCTTTGTGCGGATGGTACTGGAGCACGGAACCATGGGCTGTGTGGGCCGGTACTGGAGCACGAGCTGGCCCTCCTGGACCTTGCGTCTTTTATGAGGTCTTTTGGATGATTCCGTGGAGCCTCCAAGCGCCAGCGAGATCCCAAAAAAGGGTCCCAAAATGGAGGGAGCTGGCACTCAGGGTCGTGAATAAGCTCCTGAGCGCATTTCAGGCCAATTAGCTCCTCTACGCAAGGCATGTTGGCCACCTCCATTTGGCCTTTTTGGAGGAATGCTTCTTTGTCCCTTCTAGACGAGCGGTTCCACTCCACTCGGCATTTTTTTTGGGGGGGTAACACTTGAGGGAGTAAATCTCAGAGTCGAACAGATCCAAGTCAAAGATCATAAAATCCATTGCGTCCATACGTTGGTCAGTTCCATTCTGTTATGATCGCGGAAAAGGTAGGACAGGGAAAGACAAGACTAAATACAGGACGATGGGGTAATCACGGGACGAGAAACAGCCTGGGTAAGGGAGGCAGGAACACAAGGGCA